TGGATGGATGGATGGATGGATGGATGGATGAATGGATGGATTCCTCTTATCAATACAGAGTAATCCCTAAAAGTCAAACTATAATAGACCGTTTTGTCAAGGTTGCGTGCGCATCCACATTTAAGGAACTTGACGGGCCACGACACCAGTACATGAGTATTATCATGCATTGCTATGAAATTGTTTTCGATAAGAATTCCTTAAMTCGATTGTTCTCCTCTTTAATATAAAACTGAAATTTTACCGAAGTTGCGTTTTTCAGTTAATTTTTTGTGGCCCGTTAAGTTGGATGCTCACACAACCTTGAGAAAACGGTCTATAATTACTTACTTTTGCACCTGTATTCGGTGTCCTGTAATACGCCCAATTAAGCCCATTAACACTGTATTCTAAATAATAGTATTTCGTCCAGTACGATCCACCACTGTATCCTTGGGTAGCCACTTTAGTAACTGTCTTGACTTCCCCAAGGTCAATCTGCAGCCACTGTCCACTGCTAGTACCAGTACACCAACCACCAATGTTTTGGTTCAACCTAGCTTTTTTTGGATAGTGTGAGGAATAGTGGTACGATGCTGTTATTGCATTATCGGGGATTCTTTTATCTTCCATACCAAGAGGAATTGAACAGCTATGAACTGCGAAACGATCCAAAAAAATTTTTTTTTTCATTAAGAACAAAATTCCAATATTTTTCTGAAAATGTTTTCTTAAAGAACATTTMTTTTTATTTTTTACCATTTCTGCATCCATAGAGTTCTGCTCTCATACAAGCGTGACCATGAACAGAGGCRACAACAAATCTAACGTAACGAGCGTAGATGGGTGGTTTAAGTGTGTTGGTTGCGATGGTATCACGATCACTGTTGCCGCTGAAAACCTGAAAATGTACTTTAAAATCATTTTATAAATCTGACTTATGTCTCAAACAAGGTTTTGAAGAATAATGGTTGCTACATTAAAACTGTTGCGATTTATGAAGATTTCACAAAATACAAAATACATCACTCATTTTAAAAATACTTATATCAAATTCAATTAGAATTCAGTATTGATTTATGTAAAAACTAACCTTGGTATTGCTATATATATCTCTATAATACACCCAGTGTATATCATCAATACTGTGCATCAAGTAATACGTCTTAACCCACTGGTCAGCGTCCTGCCTTCCTTGTGTGGCAACCTTTGTTACCATGGAGACGTCTCCCAAGTCAACCTGTAACCACCCACTGCCGCTGCTCTTTGATGCCCACGCTCCATAACCAGTGTTGTCTTTCTTGGTACCCAGTCTACCTCGGTACGATGCGAATTTTAAACTGGCGTTTGACGATGCTGTGATTTGATGATCAGTGATTCGTCCATCTTCCATCCCGAGAGGCAAATCACAACGATGTGCTAAGAGCAAAATTGATGATCATTAGAAATTCCTTTCGTACTCATTACCGAGAAAAACAAGAGTGAAGTACAAATTGGTTGTATTTATGAGAAGTTGATACTATGAAAACTTTAACAGTTTCGAATTTTCGAATTAAGAATGCGCGTCCTAATTAAAAAATATTTTAAAGCGTTTGGTAAACATATTTCATAAGAAAAGTCCATAAATTTTGATTTCAATTTATACAATCGTTAAGTGGCTCAAAATATAATGAGAATAGCAACGGGTTCAGTTAGTTCTCATAGGTTCGTAGCCGATTGACAGTGCGTTGTTCACTATTTGGCAGTTATATATATATATATATATATATATATAT